ATGTTTTCCAAAAATTGCCAAAAGAAACAATTATGACAATCCAGCTTAATACATACATAATAAATTTAATTAAAATATTTTTATTAATATAAGAACCAAAATTAAGTTTTTACTTAATCGAGATGAAAAGTCTAATAAATAGACTGCAAAAAAATGTTTTCCAAAAATTGCCAAAAGAAACAATTATGACAATCCAGCAATGGATGTGTGGAATTTACCCAAAAAAAAAGAAAGCAATGGGTGTGTGGACTCGTAATCAAATTTCAAATTCTTTAAATTCATACAAGTGATACAGAACTTGTTGAGGTCATGTTGAGAACTTCAATGGGGTGTCCATCTTTTTGGCCGGCTTTCATAGAGTGTCTGAAATGTCTACATCTTCTATCTTATCCTTGGATCGGATTCCAAATCACATTTGAAATTTATTGAATGGTAACGAGTGATAAAGATTGCACAACTTTGCAAATTTAGTCAAGTTTATCTATGTCTAAATCTATCAGTTTTCCCTTCCCAAGTCCCACCTGAAGAAATGCAAAACCAAAATGAGAATATTGAAACTGTATTGATTGTATTTTTCTGTACAAGACTTGTGTATATATATATAGCTACAGAAGCATAATTACAGGGATATATTTAGATCCTAGAATTTTGCCTAAGATCATGGAAATGACCATTGCACCAATTCTTCCTTGTACTGTGCTTTGGTTTTCAATTGCCTGAGATACTTTCCCTTTTCCTTTTACTGGTTGTTTCCTTTGTTTGTACTGTGCTTTGGTTTTCAATTGCCTGAGATACTTTCCCTTTTCCTTTTACTGGTTGTTTCCTTTGTTGGCTGAGGTCCTGATTCTTTGCTCATTAATTCTGTACTTGATTCAACTTCCTTCACACTCCCCCTCAAACTGGATTGGGGAGAAACCACCAAGCCCAGTTTGAACCGTAAGAACTGAAAATGAGTGCGAGGTAAGGGCTTGGTAAAGATGTCTGCAATCTGATCCATGCTTGGAACGTACCTCGTCACCAGAGAACCAAGTGCTACCTTTTCTCGAACAAAATGGTAAGCTAATTCAATATGCTTTGTTTGAGCATGGAACACAGGGTTAATAGACATGTGTAGAGCACTAATATTATCTGAGAACACTTGAGGAGGATTTAGGAGTGAAAGGCCAATATCACGGAGAAGATAAGTGATCCACACAAGTTCAGCTGTAGTAGTGGCTAGCGCTCTATACTCTGCTTCTGCAGTGGAGCGAGCTATGGTGGATTGTTTCTTTGAAGACCAAGAAATACAATTAGCTCCAAGGAATATGCAAAAGCCTGTAGTACTTCTTCTCGTTATGGTGCATCCTGCCCAATCTGCATCACAAAACCCAGTGAGAGATAGTGTACTGGATGAGTAGAAATTAAGGACATGGTGTAAAGTCCCTTTGATATAGCGTAGGATGCGTTTAACTTGGTGAAGGTGAGCAAAGGTAGGCTGTTGCATAAATTGGCAGACTTTGTTAACTGCAAAACATAAGTCAGCTCTAGTGATGGTTAAGTACTATAGAGCACCCACAATTTTTCGGTATTCTTGAGCATCAACAAGGTCCTCGTCTCTCGGTGTATGTGGTTCTTTGACTACCATTGGTGTTGCAATCATGGAGGCTTCAACCATGGTTGCTCTAGTAAGAATATCCTTCGCATATTTGGCTTGAGACAAGAATATACCACCAGAGAACAAGGTAACCTCAATACCCAAGAAATAGCTTAGAAAGCCTAAATCCTTGAGAGCAAACTTAGTGCTAAGATTTTCAATAATATGCTGCAGTAGAGATGAAGAGCTTGTAGTAAGTACAATGCCATTCACGTATAAAAGAAGCAAAGCTGTATCTTGTCCATTATGCAAAACAAATAGAGAAGAGTCTGCCTGACTGCAATGGAATCCTAGCTTTAATAAATGAAGAGTGAAGGTATCGAACCATGCTCTAGGGGCTTGTTTGAGACCATAGATGGATTTATTGAGTTTGCAAACATAACCCAGATGGTTAGGATCTTCGAATCCTGGTGGCTGTTTCATATATACCACTTCTTTAAGCTGGCCGTGAAGAAATGCATTCTTCACATCTAGCTGTCTTAGTGGCCATGATAAGGTTGTAGCTAAGGCAATTACTAACCTAGGGTGGTGGGTTTGAGCACTGGACTGAATGTCTCTTCAAAGTCTACCCCCGGTACTTGTGAAAATCCTCTTGCCACTAAGCGTGCCTTAAACCTGTCCACACTTCCATCTGAATTTAACTTTGTTTTGAATACCCATTTAGATCCCACAATGTTTGTGTTAGTTGAAGGGGGAGGTACTAAGGTCCATGTATTGTTCTTGTAGAGGGCAGCTAATTCTTCTTGCATTACTCTTAGCCATTGCGGGAGTTGTAACGCTTTCTTGATGGTTTTCGGCTCTCGAATGTCCATACTTGCATTATTCAAATAGGAATTATTATTAGTGACCATAGTGTTTGCATATTTTGGAAATGAAGTCTTAACATGGCCAGTATGTGTCCTTGTACGAGTTCTTGTCATCATTGGATGAGTAGATGCTGAAGTTGCATTATGAGATGGTGGAGGCACTCCAATAGGTTCTTGTGAAGACTCAGCAGAAGCTGGTTCTTCTTGAGCAACTTCTACCAGACTTGGATTGATCCTAGTGGTAGATAAAGGATTAATTGAGCTTGAAGGAGAGTCCCGGTTGTTGGGTCCCAAAGTGCTTTGAGTTGAGATGTAGTCTCTCTCATATTCCAGATTTTGTTCTCCCTCGAGCTCTATATTCTCTGCATTATTATCTTTTATTTCTTCTTCTTCTCTCGTGCTTTCTATAACCATGGTCTGTTGCCTAGAAGGTGGAGTCATAGAAGCATGATCATCCAGCTTTCGTGAGGGTTGTAAATGGGATGAGGCTCGTGACCACTCGTATACTTGCAAAGTTCACCATTTGTACTAGTATTTCCTGAAATTCTTGTTAGATCAGTATATGGAAGAAAAAACTCATCAAACACTACATGCCTTGATATATATACTCGTTTTGTAGAGGGATGCAAACATTTGTATCCCTTGTGAATTGAGCTATATCCAATGAACACACAAGGCAAAGACCTTGGCTGAAGTTTATGAGCAGCATGGTCCTTGAGATATGGAAAACATTTACATTCGAACACCTTTATCATAGAATAATCAGGTGACTTGCCATATAAGAGAAAATAAGGAGTTTTATTGTTCAAATTAGGTGTAGGCATTCTATTAACAAGAAATACTGCTGTAGAGAAACTATCAACCCAGTAATGGGGTGGCATATTAGCATGAATTAACATGGTCAAACCTGTCTCGACTATATGTCGATGTTTTCTTTCTGCAACCCCATTCTGTTCCGGAGTGCCAGGGCAGGATACCTGTAATTTAATGCCACAAGCTGCTAGATGATTAATGAAAGCCTTACTTGAGAACTCACCACCACCATCACATTGAAAAATTTTGATGTTTTTGTCAAATTGTGTTGCTATCATCTTTTGAAATTTCTGAAAAACATCAAAGAAGTCAGACTTCTTATGCAAAGGATAAAACCAAGTAAACCTGCTGAAATCATCCACAAAAATCACATAATAAACAAAGTGGTTAGTAGATTGAACTGGAGAACGCCCCCACAAATCACAATGAACTTTTTGAAACAAAGCCACTGCTCTTTCATTATTTTTATTAAAAGGAAGCTTACAACTCTTCCCCATTTGACAACTAGAGCATAAATGAGAGGGCTTAGTCCATTTTGATACTACAATATTATTTTTCATGACTAAAGCTTTTAGCACATTAGAATTAGG